AATTATTGCTTATTTCTTTATAAGCTATGATCAAAGCATGTAGCGTCTTCAGCAACAGGCTTAATATTCATTTCTGTTACATAACTGAGGGGAGATGTCATTCTGTAGATATGTTTCTCTTATTGGTTAATGAATAAAGCCCTGTTGGCCAATAGGAAAGCAAGATAGGTGGGACTAGGAGACAAGGAGGAGTCAGGGAGAGTTAGAAGATTCAAGATGTAGGGATTTGTGAAGAAAGTCTGGACCCTCTCTCCAGTAAGCCAAGACCACGTGGACATACTTAGATTGATAGAAATGGGTTAATATTTAAGACAGAGCTAGCCAGTAAGACACACTAGTAACAGGCCAACAGCTTTATATCTAATACAATGTCTCTGTGTGTTGTTTGGGGCTGATGTGGCAGTGGGACCAGGCTGGCAAAAATCAACTCAGTAACACACAACCAAGAGCAATGGCAAACAACCTATAATGGAGGGGAGAGGCTACCCCTGGGGTCTTCCTGACCAAAAGTACATAGGGAGATATCCCACACCTGGCACTGATATTTTCAAGTAATAACCTGTGGCTTCTTGGAGCCACATTATTTATCCACTTAGAACACCTCCATTCAAACTCTTTCTTATCATCGTGTAGTTTAATTATCTTTCAAACAAGTAGATTTTCATGACTTTTTCACCCATCCCTAGTCTTGACTCCTAGCTCCTCATCCTTCCGTACCTTCTGTAGACAGATCCCTGCCCCCCAATTTGGGACACCAGCTCACAAAAAAAAAAAAAAAAAAAAAAAAAAAAACCAAAGACACTGAGACTTAGTATTAATTATGGAAGCTTGCTTAGGCATGTCCCATTTGCCCCTATAACAAATTAACCTGCCTATCCTGCTTTCTCAATGTCCTGCTTTCTTCTTCCCAGAGCTCTCTGTCTCCAGAAGTCCCACCTAACCTCTTCCTGCCTAGCTAATGGCCATTCAGCTCTTTATTAAGCCAGTCACAGTGACACATCCTCACAGAACATTCCACAACAACCTTCTGCCTGTCATCCCCCACTTCAACTTTCCCATCCCGAGTGTTCCTCATCTTTATTTTCACAACACACCTGGAGTACACCTTCTTAACAGCGATGATAGAAGAGGCAGAAGTCCCAGGCTTCATGCAGGGATGCGCTAGTTTGGTATATAGGGTCGGGTTGGAAAGGAACAGTAGACACACCATAAGACGTAGCCTTGGAGGACAATGGCAGAGAAGGCCCTTCCAATGGATCAAGCTCTAGATTGAGTGGCCAGTTACCTATTTTAGATGAAATAAAAAATAGCCTGATAAGAACTGGAAAGATGGCTCTGAGCACTGAGTTTAGTTCTAGGCTGTTCCACCAGGTGGCTCACAACTGACGCTAACTCCAGTTCCAGAGGCTCTGACATCTTCCTCTGGCCACCGCTTCATATCAAGAAATATATGGAAGCCTACGTGTATAAAGAGTCGGAGATGGGATAGAGGCCTGCGGGTGTATGGGGAGTAGGTTAAATGTGTGCAGGCCAGTGTCCACAGCTTTGAACCCACGGAGAAAGACACAATGAGGCCCTAAGTGGACACAGTCATTTGGCCATGTAACAGCAGCCATCTTAAGACGCTAACCACTCAGTGCTGGCACGGGGGATAGCGCCCTCTGGCGTGGTCCAAACAGCATAGTGCTCAACTAAGCTAACTAAGGTGAGTTAGCTACTGTTTTGTTGCTGTTGTTATCTGTCTGTGAGTGCTGAGAATGGAACCCAGGACCTCGTGCATGTTAGGCAGGTTCTTGGCTTGAACACCTACTTGCAAGCCCAGTCCTACAGTATTTACTTTGCTACCCAATGTCTGCCAGCTGAACATTTAACCTCAGGTAAGGCTCCATTCCGTCATGATGCCATCAGCTTCCTTAGTAGTAGATTAACTACTCAGAGCCCCTTCCATCTTGCAAGGGAGATGGTTTTAGTATCTCAGGGTAAAAAACTATGATCTTAACCACATAATCCCAACCAATAAGAACATCCCTCTCACTTTCCAGACTCAAGTCCTTCTGGAAAGAGGGCAGCGGTGAGCTGTGGGCTGTTTCTCACAGCGATCCACACCAGGCATTCTGGAGTAAACCACAGAGGATGTTTTCAAGTAGCTTGCATCCACTCCTGAAAGATCTCCTTTGCCCCCCCTCTGTGGGCAGACTGTACAGCCACTCAACGGAACTCAGCCCTCTCCTAACTGCCTTTAGCATGCAGTCTGAACCTCAGGGTTGAATATGGCCGGGTCACAAGCTCTACTATCAGCTAAATGATGGTTACGGTTGTAAAAACTCCACTGAGTGCCATTATAAAATGATTGCTTGCGCTACCCAAACAGTTTGCTCTGCTATTTGGAGTGATGACAAGTCTCATAGTTCAACTTCCTTTGCGAATTTCTGAGTGAGTGATCAGGGCATGTAGCCATGGGGTTGGTTTTCCAATCCTTGACATGCTGACACGAAGGGAAAGTGTATCTTTTCCAGCAGATAACAAGAGCAGGGGAAAGGGCTTTAAAGCAGGTAGAAGGGTCAGAAAACTGCAATAACACAGCAGGAGTATAAGTCTTGACTGGTAAGGAAAACTGCCCAAAGCTTCTCCATTCGTTGCTGTCCGTTGTGGGTTTTAGAGCTAAATTTACTGTTTGCTATTTTTTAGTTTTGTGAATGTGTTCAGCACGTACAGCCATTTGCTAAACCTAGGAATGGGAGCTTGAAGGATGCAGGAACAGGTAGAAAGAGGCTAATAGTGTACAGCCACAAGATTATTTAGCCTGATTCTGAACTCTGGAGACCACAGTATATGACCCGGTAAAGGCCAGTGTAAAAGAGCCAGCCCAGACTTTGCTCTGGGCAAGGAAATCCAGTTACACCCTCATCTTAGTAGGAGCTAGTACAGTAGGAGCCAGGACAAAGTTTTCTGTCCATAAAATTTCAGAGCCAGAACATCTTGGCTCTGGGTCTGTGCTTTGAAAAGTAGCCCAGTGTGACAACAACCATTTGTGTCTTCTGTGGCCTTAAAGTCTTCAAACCAATGCAAAGTTGATTACATTCTGAAGGCACACTTTAATATGTATCATTTATACAGTGAATGTGTGATGTTGCCTTTAAAATATGAATTCAATTCAGCGTCATCTTTAAACCACTTTAATTTTAGTCTTTCAAATACCAATGAGAGGGAGAAGGGAAGGAAGGAGGGGGGGAAGGAAGGAGCCAAGGGGGGAAATTCATGAACAGATGAAGGGATGCAAGGGATTTTTAGTTTTAGCATTTGGTTAGTGTAAGGCACCTGCTTCCTCTTGCTATAAACTAAAGTAAGGATATCATCACTGGCTAACATTTCCTGGGAATGTATTACAACTTTCTTTCTTTCTTTTTCTTTTTCTTTTTTCTTTTTTTTTTTTTTTTTTTTGCATTTATCCTACATGATATCTTTATGAAGCAAGAGCTACTACTTCTTGATTACACAGGAAAACAATATTCCCTAAAGAGAATAAATAATCTGGCCCATATTATTTTTCACAAAGATTTGAAGGGAAGGGAAGCCTGGCTTCAAAGTCTGTGTTATTCAACACAGTATGATGTTATTTCCTGAGGGGCTGACAGCGGGGAAAACCAGGACTCAGTTACCTCTCCACCACCTGCTGGAGAATGATTAGTTCTGGGGATGAGCCTCTGGGGGCAGGGCCATGTGCAGTCTCTCATGCTGCACACTACTCAAGGATGCCTCTCACACTGCAGGAGCATTCCAATGTATCCAGGAGGTTATTGGTGGGGATGAAGACCAGGAGCTCTGGAATGGAAACCGAGTGGGAGTCTATGATGGCCAAGTCCTGGCATATCTGTAGACTTGACTGTCACAGTCACCAGTATATGTACACACACACACACACACACACACACACACACACACACACACACGGGCAAGGCGGGGAGAGAGAGGGAGAAAGAGAGAGTCCTAGCCATACTCCAAGAATCCCACTTTAACATCTTCAACCTGGGCAAGCACTGTATAGTACCCACAACTGCCCATGGCTGATCATGTTGTGCAACCAACAGAATTCATTCTAAGTAAGGAGGGCCTTCTGATTTGGCCCAAGGGTGTCATTAACCATGAGGGGTCCTGGAAAAGGTCCTGAACCACAGGCCTCAGCATCCTTCCTCCTTTGAGCACCTTTGCTTTGAGCACTCAGTTTGTATCAGTTCAAGACCAGAGGACATTGGAACACTGCATCTTTCACAAAGAAAAGAGCCTCTGCGGACAAATTCCCAAGGGGAATTCCTGTGGTGCTTTTCACCTCCTCCATCAGCTTGGACCACGCTTGTCCGTGTTCCCCTTCTGCGAAGAACACCTCACTAATTTCATTGTTCATTGTTCAGGGCACAAGTTGGTAAGCACCAGAGCGCGAATCTAAGAGTCACTGAACCAAACCACTCAAGTGCCTTCTTCACAGGAGCCGAAGTGTCCAGGTCAGCAGTGGGACAGCAGCTGGTGGCTAGCTTTCGGGAAATCCTCCCCCCGAATCCTGAAATCCCCTTCTCCCCTGCTCAGGCCATTGCATCACTGGTTCTGGAGGTCCCCAAGTAGGGCCTCTGAGATGGGGCACCCTAAAATTCTGGGCCTCCAACAGGGTATAAGAGAAGAGAAAGTAGGGACCAATGTGCTTCCCTGAAGCAACTGTCACCAACCCTGGGGAAGGTCCCAAAGAAACAAGTGACGGTGAGAACCAGAGGCCAGAATTGACTTTCTCTCTTCAGTAAACTAGAGAAGGGACCCCGATACAACAGGCACGAGGTGAGTACCGAGGCTTCCTCTTTGGTCCCCCATCTTCCAGATCCACCTCCCACTATGAACACATCACGTTGCCTTCTCCGTCTCCAGATTTAGAGAAAGCAGCTGGCAGACACCGCAACACCAGCATCTCCTTGGATAAAAGAAAAGAGTCCAACGTGATTTTGCTCTGGACTGAGATGGACCAAGATGCCCCAGCTAAGCCCAGAGAACAAAAGGTGATATGGCTTTGTCTTGGAGGTCTGGGTCTTACTCTAAGAAGGGGTAGTATCTGCAGCAGCAACTGTGACTTTTGCTCTAGGAACCACCTAATACTAGGCAGGCTCTTTCCAGAGGCCAGAGAAGACTCGGGGGTGGGGGTGGGAGTGGGGAGGTCGGGCACCAGCATTTCTTTTCTGCACCCTCTTCTCAGTCCCGGCAAAGGATACTGGGAAGGACAGAACCAGCACACACAGCTGCCCAGGCAAGGGTCCTCTTTTGTAGTGGAGGGCAATAGGCACCCGTGTGGGTGAACGTAGCAGCCTCCAGCAAAGCCAAGCCTGGTGATGCTGTGCGCTTCCTTCCCCGTGCACATGCCAGACCATCCCACAGAATGGGGGAGAAGGCGGAAGAGAAGTGGGGTGGATTCAGAGGGGCTCCGGGTGGGCAGGGACGTCTCGAGTAAGGAAAAGGAGGTGCCTGTGTTTCCCGGCAGAACTCGGGGGGCACAGGACTCTACTTGGGGTGCAGGGTCACAAAGGCCTGGGATCCCCGGTGCCCCGCAGAGAGGATTCCTGAAGGTCATTGGCAGGGAGAGTGACTGGAGACATTGCACTGATGATAACCCCCCAGTCCCCAATCATGACTGATAAGTAGCTAGGGACATTTCATTTTATCGCACGCCATGCTTCCTCATTGCCCTGCGGAGGCAGCTTTGCTCCTGAAGCTGAGATACTGTCACACCATCAGGCTTCAAAAGAACTGGGCGGCATGGTGATGTCGGCCTTTATGTGGACTGTATTAGGACTTGGCACGTTGGAAACAGTAGCCTGGGAAAATCCAAGCACCAGGCATGCAGGGAACCTGGGTTTGGTGAATATTAATCAAACTAAGGACTACGTGCAACCACACCCTGGGAGAGCTGGGGTGTGTGTGTGTGGGGGGTGAGAGGCAGGGAAGGGCGAGGACTGCCCTCAGCAGTGCCCAAGGGAGGGGACACATTAATGGTGGTAGGGTGGAGGGAGCTGGAAGGTGACAAAACAAAACAAAACCTATGTCTTTTCAAACCGGGGACTCTGGGTCCCTGGATAGTCAGGCAGCCAAAGGTTCCAGTAGACATGACTGAGGCCAGCCAAGCCCAGTGACAAGCAGCTGCTGGAAGCCTAGTTTTTATTTTATTTTTCCTCTCCTCCTCTTTCTGCCCATCTCTTTTATCTCTTATCCCCCTTTTACTCTCCCTTTCTCCTGTTTCTCTCTTCCCATTCCCATTTGCTTTTCCCCTCCTTTGATTCGATCCTGCACAACGGGCCAGTGGCTTTCTGTGGCATAGTTGGGAGTTGTTCCTTGCCTGGGTTCCAAACCCCTGGCATAAAGTTGGTGCACTGATCGTTCTCCAGACTGGTAAAGTATACGCTCACATTAGAAGAAAACACAATGTCACCTGTGTGGGTCTGCAGCCCACACAGCCAAGCACCTGTGAAATTTCTCAGAGAACACAGACGATGTGTACGGGGTACAATCTCGTCCTTCTTAACTGAGAAGTGACCCCTTCGGGGTTCTCTGGTGGAGCACTGGGCTCCTGGTCCCAGTAGCTGCCCACAGGCTCACACTATGCTCCATCTAGTGTCGGGGTTTAAAAGTAAAAGGATGTGTGTGACACAAGGCTCTGCATTCAGTGGGTTCCCAAGGCCAGAAGAAGAATGCAGAGCAGGAGGGCGGATGGAGATGGAGAGGGCGGGAGAGAGCTTCCTAGAGATCAAGTCGAAGAAACAGAGTGGTACCCTAAAGCCAGCAGGATGCAGGGTTAGCACTAACTCAGTCCCACATGAGCAGTGAAACACATGGACACACCCCCCCGAAGAAATAACTCTTCCTCTGCAAGTAGAAAGGATGAAAAGAGACAAAGGAAGGGTTGCCCTGCATCCCAGGAGTGCGGTACCCCACACACAGTGTCCGCCAGTGACTCAAAGAGCCCGATCGATCATCTCCAGGAATGCCTTCCAAGCATCGCAATTCCAACCATGCGCTAGCTTTGCAAGGGCTCTTCCCCTCTGGACTACTCTGCAGAGCCGCGCCTCCCAGGACACACCGCCCTCTGTCCTCTGGCTCTGCCTTTCAGGTGGGGCCACCCCAGCTGGTGGGGCAAACTCAGATTCCACAGCCAGAGCGCCCAGCCCTGGACCCCCTGCCACTCACTCTAACTTGACGTGTCTCCCTCAGGCCTCTTGTCTTTATGTGGTTACAGGTCTCGGGCCAGAGAACCAGGTGGAAAACACTTCTCCTCATACTCAGCCTGCTGCATGGTGAGTCCACACACAGCCCAGGGTAAAGCTTCAGAGCCTGCTGGGGACCTGGAATTCAGCCCAACCAGGCAGATGTATAGTCTTCTCTCAGGGGACCCCACACCATTGTGCTGCAGATAATGAAGGCCGTGAGAGATCACCGAGACTGCTTATGCCTGACTTAATGATATCTAGAATAAAAGCCATGGTTTAGACAATGCCCACCCCTCTCCCCCAACACACACACACACACATCATCAAGGTCCCCTCCAGCCCTCACCCCCACCCTTCCACCCACCATGCTCACCCCCCCCCCCCGGCTCTTCCATTTAAGTGGATGACTAAAAATTAGCTGTTTACAGAGTGTTACAAGGTTCCAAGATATGCAAAACACAAAGTTACAGGTTTCATTTCCCATCGTTTTACAAATACCTAAGCGCCAGGCTTAGCAACATAGAAATGGAGACCCTATCCTACACACAAGAACAGCAGTATACAAAGAAATTGTATGATGCCAAATGTGAATGCATTTAGTCACTTATCTAACGTATATTCATGAAGTGTTTGGTGTGCATCAGGAGCTGAGAACAATGAGAGGAGGAATAGAATCCTAACCGTATTTGCAGCCTGGTACGCTGGCTGGCAGGCCAGAAGTAGGTAGGCCAGGCCTTTCCCCATGCAATGATGTCTGTACATTTTATTATGATGGTATTGGTGAGCTCCTGAAGAATGTAGGGTGTGTGTGTGTGTGTGTGTGTGTGGTGTCTGTTACTTTGACCTAATCCAGGGAGGTAGGCGTTTTACAAATCATTGTTGAATTCATTAATGAGTGAAAACATTATGATAACACTAAAAATGGACTAACCATGTCTGGTTCATCAACAAATCAGATTGAACCAACAGGCAGTGCTGTCCGGTGTGTGATGTAGAACTCTTAATCACTCACTGCCCTTCAGGAAGGTACAGGACCTCTCTGTTCACATAGAGATTAATAGTCTTCTATGTCTTGTATATTCTAAACTTGATTGTTCCAAGTTTTCAATTGAATATGTTGGTCAGTACTTTAATCCTCACCCAGGGACACATCCTGACTCCCCATGTGCACTGTGAACTAAGGTATGTAGTCTCCCGCTGCCCCAACCTCTGCTCTGCCACTTAATCCCCACCATAATCAGAGCCAGCAGGACACTGTGATGCTCTCTTAGTCCATGGGATGTGGGGCAGGAATTAGAGCTTGACTTCACGTTTCCTGAGAATGGCTTTGTAGGCATTTGGTGGCCTCTGATAGCTCGGTTTCTCCCTTTACCCAGGTTCGTCCATGACCCCTCCACACAGACGACCCCATTCCAGAGGGCTACAAGCTGGCCCTCCCTCTTCCAGGACCCATCTCTTCACTGCGGACGCACACACAGCTTCCACACCCCCTTGCTACTGGAAGAACTCCCTTACAGGTACAGCCCCTCCTCTGCCTTTGCCTGGCCAAAGACTTCTTTTGTCAAACCAAGTCCTGTCCCAATGTAAGGTCCGTCTCAACTGCAAGCATCATTCCCATCCCTGACCCCAGTGGAAGTCATAGCAACACACCGCCATTCAGCAATGATAGACCGATGAGGCCTCGGGTACCCCACATCCACCAAGAAGCAGGGAATTAGTTAGCAACAGGGCCTCCAGGCGCCTTAATCCTAAATGCCAGTCCTTTCTCTAAGTCTCAGCATTGGCTAGTATAAAATTCAAATCCTTTAATTGTAATGGAAGTCAAGAGTTACCGATTGGCAGCTCACCACTTGAGGTATTGGTTCTTAATTCTGATATTAATGAAAAATTATGTGTATTGCAAGAGTCAACCAAAGATACTCAAGTAGAAAAGCTAGACTGCCTCATCATCCTGACTAACGGTCCAGTGATCCTATCAAATGTGCCAACTCCAGGACACAAGAACTTCTAGAATCTAGGGTGTGAACATTTTAATAATAATAATTTTAATGCCGATTAATATTCTTGCTTTTTAAAGATAAAATGTAATAGTAGTAACCTTTATCATGGGTGATGTGGTTTGAGGTATGTTGTTTAAATAAGGCTTCAGTGGTATTGCTACAAGCAAAGCATTTATGATTGCAACTCTCCTGTAATTAGACCTCAGGTCATCACACACAAGAGACAAACCCCTTACAAATCCATCTGTACTCAGAAGGTGGCTGATTTTATGCTCTGCTGTTGCTGTCTTAGAATTATTTTGTTGCTATTGCCGGTTTGTCTTTGTCTTTTTAGCCTAAATTGTTAGCTTTATTTATATTAGTATATATAAAACAATGGGCTTCATTATGACATTTCATATGTATGTATGTATGTATTATGTATGTATGTATTATGTATGTATGCATGTATTGTGTATGTATGTATGTATTATGTATGTGTGTATGTATTATGTATGTATGTATTATGTATGCATGTATTATGTATGTATGTATTATGTATGCATGTATTATGTATGTGTGTATTATGTATGTATGTATGTATTATGTATGTATTATGTGTGTATGTATTATGAATGCATGTATTATGTATGTATGTATGTATTGTGTGTGTGTATTATGTATGTATGTATTATGTATGCATGTATTATGTATGTATGTATGTATTTTGGCGATATTTGTTCCACTCCCCTTTCTGGCCCCCACTTCTATTCTAACAGATCTCCTTTCTCTTCCTAATTAGGCGCCTTCAACTTTCGTGTCCTCTGTGTGTGTATGTGTGTAAGAGAGAGAGAGAGGAAGAGAGAGAGAACTACTTTAATTAGGGTTGCTTATAGGAGCATGGATGAAGGGTTGTTTGCAGGATTATGGTCAGTTTACTAGTGTCTATACCAACAACCATTAACTACCAATAGATCCTCAGAGAAGGCAGGAGGCCCTCCCCCAGCAGGCGTTAACTACCTATGAGTCCTCATGGAGGGGCGGGGCCTCTTCAGCCCCTCTTATCTCCTATTAGAATATTGGTAGACTGGATCTTGTATCAGTCTTGTGTGGGTAGTCATAGAGACTGGGAATTCATGCGTCTGCGTTCATCAGGAAGACTGGTTTTTGCTTTTCCTTTATATTGTGTGTCTGGTTTGGGTGCTGGTGGTTCCAAAACCATAGGCAATTGGCTTTTCCATAAATTCATACCTTTATGTTGGGCGCCAATATGAAACGTGAATAATAAAAACCCAGAGACAGATATTGGGGCTCAAGCTGAAGATCAGGAAGGCAAAGCAGCCAAGCCACTAGAGAGCTCTTACCTCTCCGAAATCTTCGGACTGAAAGGAGAGATCCTGCCCCTTCAAGTTCTCAGACTGAATCCTCTGAGGTCCTGTCCCACCCCACCCCACCCCCACATCCCTCTCTCCACCCAGACATATCACTCCTGCCCCCACCTCTCTAGTGCTGGGATCCAAGGCGTGAGCTCTGTTTCTCTTTTAGACTGATTCACTCTCACGTAGCCCAGGGTGGCCTTGAACTCATAGAGATCTGTCTGTCACTCCTGGGATTAAAGGTGTGTTCCACCACTGCCTGGCTTCTATGGCTGTGGCTAGCTTGGCATTCTGATCTTCAGGCAAGCTTTATTAGATCGCCACAAAGGGTTTAATGGCATCCCTTTCTTTCCTGTACGGTGGGATGGTTTGGGGAAGCACTAGTCTCAAAACTCTTCCAGTCTCTGCCTCTTGGTGAGCTTACAGCATGTGTTGTCATACACAACCTCATCTTGCAACGTGATAATTTGGACAAGGAGTCTTGCACTTTCCTCTTACACTAGGATCCACAAATTCTTTAACTGTTCCCAGTAAGGGAATACTAGTCAGAAGGGTCTTGGGTTCAGAAGCCCCAAAGACACATACCAAACTACCAGGTAACTCATACCAAATGGCAATGCTTGGTGGCATTTCTGTGGGAAGGAATTATGAGGCTGGCTTTGACAACAGCCCGCCAGGCAGCCGTCCTGGCTCCTAAGGGAGGGCAAAGACCCTCAGGAGGGCTGAGGGATGTGACAAGTGTGCTGGGCAGAGATGGACCCCTTTGTCTCACCCTAACCAGTGTGAGGGAAGCAATGTCTAGAGCGTGACCCAGTACATGTGCCATTATACTCCAGGTTTCGTCTGACAAAAGGACAAAGTGTGCTTTCTTCGACCCAGTGTAGGGCCCTCACCAAGAGAGGGGATTTAGGCCACAAAAAAAGAAACACCAAATGTGCAAATAGCCAGAAGTCGCAAGGTTGTTATTGGCAGCCATAAAAGGCCAGCAAAATGAGAAGCCAGTCTTTCAAGGAGGACACTAGAGACAGAAGCCACCAGAAAGATATCTGGGAGGCAAATAAAAAAGAGACTACTTTGAACATTAGCCGGGTTCAGAAACACTGCACCACAACCTCAGCCCCCCCCCCACCCTCTTCTCAGTTCTGAGTAGCCAAAGAACACAAAGCGAGGGATCCAACCAACCTGTACATCTCCTCCCGGGTGGCCTCCTAACCTGGCAGGAACAATAACAAAAAAAAAAAAAAAAAAAAAAAAAAAAAAAAAAAGCCTTCCGCCGGATGAGACACTTGAGTTTCAGTCTGTTGTACATATGGATGTATAATTTTAGGCCACACTAGACTCTGTGTGCCTAAAGAGACAATGAAATCTACTATACACAGATTATGCCTGGGGTCTCATTAAGGAACACAGAGTCCTCAGAAAGTGTGAAAAGCCAGCGAAAGAATGCACTTTGCTTCTGCTGACATCGTACCAAATTAAAGGCTTCCTGTGGCTAAATATTGCCAAAGCAGGTGTACCATAATTCTTCTCACCCATGCTCCTGTACCAGCCATGCGCCACGTACGTGTCGTGTTCTGTCCTGTGGAGAAGTTGCCAGTGTGGGAAAATGTCAGCCACTGATCTATAAGATGCACCATCCAAGCTAGCAGAGGATGCCACACTAGTAACACTTCTCTTTTACATGCTGTGCAAACCAGAGCCCTCTGCTTGGAGTTGCCTCCTCCTCCTTACAAGCATGTAGATGGAGTTTAGTGGCATGAATGAATGCAGGCTCTGGACAGACTTGCAAGAGAACACCTAACACATAAATGTGAGCTAGATACTGGATAAGAGTCTTTCAGGTGAGGCCTTGAATTCAGCTCCCTCCCATACTTTGGAAAGGGGCTACTTCCTCAGTGGCTAAGCTCTTCGGTATCTTCTGATGAGCAGAGTTCATAACTAGCTCCCTAACAGTAGTGATACTCACTGCCCCCTTTCCTTTGACAATTTTCTCTGCCTGCAGATGCAAATGCATTAAGAGGCCCACGACTGGTGTCTGGAGAGACTGGGGGAGCCGTCACCATCCGCTGCCATTATGCCCCCTCCTCAGTCAACAGGCATCAAAGAAAATACTGGTGCCGCCTGAGCCCTCTGTTGTGGATTTGCTACACCATCGTGTCCACCAACCACTACACTCACCATGACTACAGAGGGCGCGTGACCCTCACTGACTTTCCACAGAGCGGGTTTTTCATGGTGAAGCTGTTGCAACTATCCCTGAATGACACGGGGCTTTACCGCTGTGGTATCGGGGACCGAAATGACATGCTGTTCTTCAGGACGGATCTGATTGTGGCTGCAGGTATGAGCTGACTGATGGCTGATGGGCAAATATTTGTAAAGCTGAAGTTCAGAAGAAGTGGGTACAAGAAAAGGCTCAGAAGTCCAAGAAAGCCCTGTGCCTTTCAAATTAGAAAGGGGAATAGGAGCAAGGCCCTAAGAGGTACACTTTTGGTGTAGATAAAAGTTATCTTCAAGAAGGGCAGATGCCAGGGAAGGGTGCCCAATGGAGTATATATAAGGCTGCACATTTCTGTCCTGAATGTTGCAGGATGAATGTTTGAATTAAGTTCTCGGATTCCAGAAAACTTGCAAAGAAAAGATAGCATTGCCGATGCCTACCTGGGGAGGAGAGAGGGTGTCTGGGCCAGGCTTTCCTATAGTAGTGCCTTGCTGAGTCCCTGTGCAGGCACTTGACAGAGCTCCAAGGCTCTATTCCAAAGACTGGATCCAGACTCAAGCATAGAAATCTAAAGCAGTGTGTGTGTGTGTGTGTGTGTGTGTGTGTGTGTGTGTGTGTGTGTGTGTGTGTTTGCATGCACACATGCACCACAAAGGCTGCTCTGCAGAACACCTAGTCAGAACTGATCTTTCTGCTGAGCATATAAATTCCCTTGAATGCTGCAGTACACCTGTCTGCTGCAATTGTGGGCTTAGTTACTCCTTTGTTGAAGAGTAACACGTAGGCTCCTAGGTATCTGGATAGGAAATATGCAGGCCTGAGGGAAGGAAATAGGAACATAAAATGTGAATATTTACAAAACCTTAGAAGCACGCTGAGTTTCTCACCTTTTAATTTTATCTGACTTATTGGCAGAAGACTGCATCTCTTAATCAGGTGCATCCTGCTTAACAAGCATTTTGATCAAATGTCCTTTGCTGAATCTACTAGGTAGCATAGATAGAATTCCCTCATGGCCTCTTTCTGGATGTATCCACACAGGTCCTTCCAACACCACCTATGCAGCATCTTCAACTTCTGGTGAGCTCATCACAACATCTCCTAGGATAGCTGCAGCAGCCAACAGAGGGACCCCGGGAGTCACCCAGATTCTAGAAGGTGGGGGCCCAGAACAGTACAGAACAGCTCCAACTACAGCCAATAGATGGACCCCAGGAGTCACCCAGACTCTAGAAGGTAGGGATTCAGAAAGAGACAGAAAAGCTCCAACTACAGCCAACAGATGGACGCTGGAAATCACCCAGATTCTAGAAGGCCAAGGCTCAGAACAGGACAGAACAGCTCTAACTACAAGAGTAAGCAAAACTACAGCTCCAGCCAATGGAAGACAAATCCCAAGAACAGCCAAGACAACGGTTCCAGGGACAAGCAGCAGAGAGGAAGGCTCTATCAAGGCAACAGTCCCCACTCCAGAGAGTCCAACTTCAAAATCAAGAAGCATGTTCAGTACAACACAGGGTGTTTGGACATGGAGCACCAGAAACTCAGCAGCAACTAGAGCTAGTACCAGTAAGGGCCGGGAGAAAGGTACAGCTCCAGAGGCTGATGGGCCGCAGGGAGAAACAGAGGTCAGCACACCTCCAGAAGCACTCAGGAAGACCACAGGAACCACCAGACCATCAGCGCTCATCTCAGAGCGTGTCACTTGGGAAACTCTCCAAGAAGCAAGGGAAACCTCTAAGCAGGAAACGCTGTACTCTGTGGAGGAATCATCCCCAGCTCCAAATGCCTGGACGTTGAATACTTCACATACGCAAATGGCATCTGGAAGCATTGATTGGCGCCTAGAAAACACTGGCGGAGAAAGTAGCCCCCAAACACCAAGCCAGCTTTCATCAGGGGGCGTTGTGTGGACCCCTGGCAAGGAGTCATCCATGAAGAGGTAAGCCTTGGGTACCTGTACGCCTTGCTTTTTGGCCAGCCCTCCCTCCTGCGGACCTCTTTCCCTTCGTGTCTATGAATCGGTAAAGGGTGGGATGGGGTGCATACGCACTGGCCAGCAACCCCCCACACGTCAGTGTCCATACAGTGGGCACTAATGTGAGGATCAAAGACCCCAGAGAAGGGAAATAACCCGGTGAAGACCCAAAGCCACTGCCCTGACTGCCACGCATCCTCTTTCTCAATACGGCACACTGTGGCCCATACACGAGAGGGTGGAGTGAAGCAAAGGACCTGGGCTTGAGGAGCTGCAGAGAGCAGCTCTGCTTGGAGCCAGTTACAGCGACAAGGGTGGCCAATTGGCCAGGAACTCCGCTTGGCCACCTGTGAAACCAGAGAGGCGGGCTACTGTCTTAATAGTCATCTAGCTCCAGCCTCCCTGATTCCATGCCCCTGTCATCCTTGACTCCTCCCGCTGCAGTGCTCTTACAGGAGAGAGCAGCCCTTGGATCCTGACTCCAGTCTCCACTCTGCTGCCTCTGGTTCTGCTCGCACCTCTGGTCCTATTGAAAAGGAGACTCTGGAGACAGAGGACCTGTGAGTTGAGCTTAAGTAACCCCAAAGCTAGGAGGTGAATGGTCCTGTCCCACTGATACCCTCAGGGCTGGGTCAGGTTAGATTGCATCTCCAGACTTTTGGATGGATGTAGAAAGCGTAAAATCTACTCTGAACCGCTGGACTATGCTTGGTCGTGGCTTCTTAAAACCCCCTCTCCACCTGTGCCTCTGGGGCATTCCTGGGCTTGAGGAGGTCTTTGGAGGGTGCTAAGCACTATTAACTGTAGGTATGAAGCCATGCTAGCAAACTCTCCACGCAGCCTGCCCTACTCTCATTTAATATCCCAAGGATGCAAACTCCACTCTGTGACCTTGGTAAAAAGAAAGTGAGGCTTTCTGGGAGGCAGAGGGAGAGGCTGAGGTCCCCAGAGCTAGGGACCACATCATCTGGGTCAATCATCATTGTTCTAATGGGCCCAGCAACCAGACTTCCATCTTAGGAAATTCTCAGACAAGTGCCTCTCTCTCACTCTTAGGAAGGCAAATCTGTACATGTGTCCCAGGACACTCACAGCCTTCTCTATTTCTCTGCAGCTCCGGGGGCAGAAAGGCCACCAAGGATCACCCTAATTCAGATGACACATTTCCTACCAGGCGAGCAACCTGATGTGGGAAAGAACTTGCCCCAGGATGACCTTCCTCCTGCCCCAGCCGGCCTGTCTGTCATGGAGAAGGACCCAGAACCCTGAGGATAAAAACAGCTCAGTCACCATGGAAGGAGGACCAAGACCAGATCTCTCCAGGATTATTCATCCCCTCCTCGCCTTTACCCACAGGAAGACTAGCTAACTGAGCTCAGCCTCCATCTGGGGACACTTGGGGGCAGGCGGGGCTACCAACTCTGGCCTCAGAGGGTCGGCCTCTGCCTGAATCCAAAGGTGACCTTACCGCAATGCAAAGAAGTCTTCAAGAAAGGGTTTGATTTGACTGTTTTTAAACCGCCTAGTCTGCTGCCCCTTATAAGCTTTTTCCCCCCTCCAGTGCGAGAGGGAGAATGGGAAGGAAAGGCGGGAGAGAGAATACTGCTCTGTGGGGTCTCTGCTGCCTCTCTGGGTGCCCTTCTTTCTCTACGCTGGTTAGTACAAAGCCTGCTGCTCCCCCTCAGCATTCTCGTACACCAGGCTCACCTGAGCAAACACTGCAGCTCCTTAAGGACGGTCATTGCATTTTATCCGTTCCACTACATCTCCAGAGAACTAGCAACTTGGTGGGACCCCAGCCAACTAAATGCCCACGCCTGCTTGTCTGGGGATGACCTGGGCTTTGTGGGCTCTGGGGATCTACCTGGGCAAAAGGTCTGAATCCCCAGGGGCTCCCATCACTTTGGGTTGGGAGGTTTCTGTGTGAGAGCGGAGGAAAAAAACCCTCTTCTTCTCACTCCGTCTCCCCATTTGACCCTGTTCTCGTCGCACTGTAAATCTTTTGTCCAGGTCAAGATTTTCTGGGATTTTCCTAAATGATGGGAGAAGAGGGTACTTTTCTTCAGGGTTTCACCTTCTCTGTCAATCTCCACTTGTCCCACTGGCTACGAAGCTTTGCCATCCAAGGCTGTGGACAAAGCTGCAAATGGTTCGGGAAGGGAAGGGGAAAGGGCAAATGAGAGGGATTTTATGTGGATGTTGCCTTATACCCGTGTGTGCTGGGGAGCTTTTGGTCCACGGTTGACCCTACGGTCTTGTCCATAAGCCAGGGTTCTCTATTCCGTGTGTTGGCAGGTACAGGCACTGAGCACCAGAGGCCATGGGGAGAGAAAGGGCCAATACCAGTGTAAGAACTGTGATGCTGACATTTCCAGGAGGCTCGGCCTTGCCTTCTAAACGGTCAGTGGCATCCAAGTCCTTCAGAGATACCTCTTCATTTCTGGTCATGACCCCAGATGCTGAACCGAGAAAGCCAAGATACACACCTCGGGGCTCATGAGGGGCTTGTCATAGGTAAGGAGGCGGTGAGGAGGCAGCGTGAATGCAGCTAGCCAAGTGGAAACCCAGAACTTCGGAGCTACAGATACTTAATCTAGACCAGTGGTTCTCAACCTGAAGGTCTCAACCCCTTTGGGGCTGAAACAACCCTTCCATAGGAGTCACCTATCAGATACCCTGAATATCAGATATTTACATTATGACGCATAACAATAGCAAATTACAGTTATGAGACAGCAATGACAATAATGTTATGGTTGGGGTTTACCACAACATGAGGAGTTGTATTAAAGGGTTACAGCAACAGGAAGGTTGAGAACCACTGATCTAGAGGGGATCTGAGGACCAGTGGAAGAAGCCACTGGTTTGAGGCCGCCAAGTTACCAGGCAACCAAGCTAGTAAAACCAGAGGGAAGACTAGAGAGTGTGAGACCTTGGCCTAGTGTATTCTCACCTCACCACAGCAATGGTGATTAAGCAGAACTTGTCAGAAGTTCACCACACCATAACCCATCACCCACACTGCTGTCTGCCTGCTATCTCAGTCTGCCTGAGACCCAGTAAGAGAGGCAGAGTAGCCACCTTTGCTCCGTCCCACCAACAAAGAAGAAGCAGCTCTTGACAGGTACACAAGGCAGTCAAGACCACCTAGTTTACCGATGGCTGCGACGGGTCAAAACCACAGGCTGTTTGGTTTGTCAGACCCATCATCTTTACCAGGAATACCCATAGGCCTTGGGACTATCTTAGATTTGCCAACTTGACAGCCTCTGAGGCAACCACTCGGCTCTGTAGCCACAGAAGGTACACAAACCACTGGCTACACTACATTCCAGCAAAACTCTCAAACAGAAAACGGCATTTGGCCTTTAACCATAATTTTCAATGCCTGCATTAAGCAGTAAGACTGCACAAGACTGTTAGATACCTGAATACCCATCAGCTCCTTGGGATATTAAGACGTGGTCAGAAGAAATTAAGTTGAGTCTCAAAGAAGTTAGGGAAATGTTGGGTTAATCAACAGAGATGCTTGCATGCAGGGCTTCTTAGAGCCTTAACTATGCAAAGGAACATGGTGAATAGCCAAGAGTGTGGACATCACGTGTCCTTAGCAAAGCAATCTCATTGCATTTGGTCTCCTTAGACCACTCGTATAGAAGCCAAAACATTAAACCAAGGCATGGCCTCCAAAGGCACACACAACTATCTTAGATTTGCCAACTTGACAGCCTCTGAGGCAACCACTCGGCTCTGTAGCCACAGAAGGTACACAAACCACTGGCTACACTACATTCCAGCAAAACTCTCAAACAGAAAACGGCATTTGGCCTTTAACCATAATTTTCAATGCCCGCATAAGCAGTAAGACTGCACAAGACTGTTAGATACGTATATTTCTGACCTGAACTGTCAGATCTGTCTCCTCAGGAGCTCCCTGCTGCCCCTTTGCTGATCCCTTCTCCTTCCTCTGAACTGCTCTGAGACCCTTTGTCCCGATCTGGGCAGCTATGTCATCCTGTCTGGCTGCCCATCTTAGTAGAAGAGGGGGAATGGGAAGGAAGGAGGCCCCGAGGCCAGGCGCTGGGGCCAGGGAAGTTTCCAGTACAGGTGTTTTAGAGATCCACCAGGAGGAGCTGCAGGAGTTCAATCTCAGGCCTTAGTGTTTTGGGGGAGCTGGGATAAGATCTGGGTAGAAGCCACAGAGAAGGAAGTAGTATAAACCCTGTTTATAGCTCTCCTTTATGGTTCAACGGACTCAGGCTGGGCTTAAAGGGCCAGGGACAAGCCACACAGAGCAAGCCAACTCCACTAACACCAGCTCCTGCTGCCGCAGCGAAAGCAGGGGACACTTCCTTACTGGGCTAGAAATCAGAGGCATTTCCTTCCATTTCAGGATTCAGGGATGCCACTGAGTTTCACAAGGTGAAGCCACAGGGCACAGCCCTCTAATGCTCTTTCTACTTATTAATGCGTGTAGCTAAGCTCTCATTCACACGTCTCCACACAGCTCATTCTGTGAGCGCCAGATGCAACACTTCTGGAAGGTAATTACGGCCAGTCCCGTTTTATGGATGAGGAAGCTGACATTCAGAGGAAACTCATACTTCCAAGGGGGAAAGTACGTGGGCTCCCCTGCAGTCTCTATCCTTGATCACAAGTATTTTTGTCCCCCATCTTGGTTGTATTTATTGAGAGCTGTAATCAAGGATATATACAGTAAATGAACCACTGATTAGGGGAAGGTTTTTAATTGTGAATAAGAGAGGGAGAGAACATTCCGAAGCACCTGGAAGAATCCAGAGCAGAGAGAAAGAAGCAGACAGGACATGAGCAGGGCTAGAGAAGCAGAGATAACAGAGAGACGCAAGAAAGAACAGCAACAACGGCATGCGTGGGCTTGGGGGAGGGGGAACCTTGCTATTATACACAGGACAAACAGCTATGGTGTGTGTGTGGGGGGGGTTGTAAGATGCAACAGCCTTGGAGCTAGCGTAGTGGAGTGGGGAGGGGGGAGGGGAGAAGGGCGGGGAGGCTAGCATTGACTGTGAAATGCATAGCGTCATATGTGAATGGGGACTAGAGCCTGGAGTCAGCACTGGTTTTGGTATGCACCACGGGTACAAGGCAAGAGGGAGCCAGATGCCCCCCACCAGTGGAGGGGGGGATACGGATGGGATGTGCCTCCTTCTGGCGGACAGAATCCCTCCCGGGGTTCCTGAGGAGTGCTGGCAGTATCCTTCAGCCGAGGCAAGACTGTCATTTCTGGATACATGCACTGCATTTTGGGGTTTGGGAAACTGGGGTTTCCTTTATCTGACAATAACCTTGTCTTCTGGGGAACTGGGGTTTCCTTTATCTGACAATAACCTTGTCTTCTGGTCAGGCCTTTCCCTTGGGTTGCTTGTCTCTCTCCAGGGAGTCTCGTGTGTGGAAAGTTGCGCAGTCACTTCCAATCCATTGGATTATCTTCCATCACTGACCAGTTTATTCTTGTCTAAGCTTAGCAGGATGTGGTGTGGGGTGGGGAGGGGGGTTCACAAGGCCAGCCTGAGAACTGAAACTTCAGCCCTGAGGCAGAGACTAAGAGTAAAACACTCTCTCTGATGGGCAGGCAGAGACAGTGGCTGGCCATGACTGGGTAATAAAGGTGGCAATTCTCCAAGATGGCCACCTTCTCCCTCCGCCTCTTGACTTGAGATAAAAGCCTGGCAGCTTCAAACAAAGGCCTTGTGAGCTCCCCTCTCCCACCAGCAGGACACTTGCTGGTAGAGTGGCTCAACAAGTTCAAGACTGAGCAGGGTCAATAAGTCACACAACAGTTCTGGACCAATCAACACTCCTTGTCTTTGTCAAACCGACCAACCCTAAATTAAGGGAGGAAACCTCTTGAGAGGCTTTAAAACCCCAGCCCTCGGAAGGGACTGGAGTTTGCAGCTTTCTGCCACCCCCTCTATCCCCCCCCACCCCCCCACCCCTGCTGCCACCCCCTTTACCCCCCACCCCACCCCCTGCTTTGCTCAGGGTCTTTTTCTGTGTAGCTGCCACATGAGTGTGTTTCCTCACGCCCAATAAATGACTTCCTTCAACTGTCAATTTTGTCTGTGGTGCTTGAGGCTTCTCTGCTGCTACCTGGTGCCTTCCAGATTGCTCCTGCCTTTTATTCTTTGACTGGCAGAGCAAACTAACCCGATCAGGACCCCTAGATCGTACAATCTCAAGACCCCCTAGATTGTATCACCACCAACACGTCAGAGGTTGTTTTTCTTTCAGCCTCGAATAGGGGGGTCTGAGAGATACTGAACCCATTTAGTAGCTGCCTGAAAGATTTCTTCCACCCAAGGACACACTGGGATGCATGAGCCAAACGGATGAGGAGTTCCAGACCATCCTCCCCCTGGGGTGACCACCCCAGGGCTGATAC